AAACATCATCAACAACAACAAAACAACCCACCAGCCTGTAAAGGTTGGTTGGTTGGTTATTTTGGTTTGTTGGTTTTTGTATTTTAGAAAATAAAGCAGGTGTCTGACCTTAAGTCATTGTGAAACTCCCCAGGACCAGTAAGTTCAGCAAACAATGGACCTGGGACAAATAGAATTAGAAAGTGAAACTGAGGGTATCTCCTCCCATGAGTTAACTGAACATTCCTGAGAACCAAGTCTGGGGCTCTTGGCCTCCATGTGTCTGACTTCAAATCAGGGAATGCTGGAGACCAGAAGCTGTGGTTCTCTGTGTACCTATGGCCTTGAGGTTTCTGCTTTAGAGAGGCAGGCATGTTGGTAGGAAGGGTTCTCCTTTAGTGTCTCTCTCTCCAAGTGAACCACTCTTCTACATTACCAAAACCTTACTTTTTCTCTCTATTAATATCATTTTGTGTCACTAAAGAAACTACTGCCCAGTCTAGGTGAGAAATGCTTTTCTGGAGCTTTGAGTATCATTACTGAGCTGATGGCTGCTTATCAACTCCAGCTTGAAATCCAGCTTTGATGAACATTTCCAAAAACAAGGGACCCAATGTGATTTTAAATCCTGCAAAATACTGGATTTATGTTTCCTACCCATTCCTCCTTCTTGTTCTGTTTCTTTTTCTCTCTTTCTTATTTCCTTGGGCTGTAGCCATTTTGAATGGAGGCCAACTTCTTTTTTGGCCTGAGAACTGAACTGGAAGTATTTCAACATCAAATCCAGTTTCAGTTCTTTTTAAATGTTTTGTCATTGAAATTCTATCTATATAAGTAAATAAAATGCCTACAAGAAAGTGAAATTAACTGAATTAACTACCACTAGATAAAATAAAATAGGAAATGAATGAAGGAAAGACATGTAGGCACTATTAACTGGGCATGCTTTACATCTTCCTCAGTCCAGCCTGGCAAATATCCTTTTAATCTGTTTTTCATGCAACTTCAAGCATTTTTAAGAGCCAGGAGGCTGAGTTCCATTGAGCAGGATCACATTGGCATGAATTGTTGGAATTAAGCTACCCTTTCAAGGTGTAGAAGGGGACTTACTATGCTTCTGTGGGGAAACTTGCACAAATGCTGTAGGAAGGGAGTTTTTCCTGCTTTATGCTGACTGACCCTTTTTTTTTCTTGTCCTTTACATTTGCTCTCTGGGCATTCAGTCACATTGGCTTCCTTTGTCTGGCTCCAGCCCCAGTCCTGATGACTGCATTCAGTCTGTAGCTCTTCCCCTTTCCTGCCAAATTTGTCAATTCTCTTTTCAATAGCCACTTGCTATCACTGAGCTAACTCTACAGTCTGAATTTCTATATGCTGACAGATCTGCTTCTGTCATTGGGTCAGAATGACCTCTTCATGAACTGAATTACTCCCCTGAAATTTATTCTTTCTGTTGTTCCTCCTGCTTCCCTCCAAGGCAGCAGGTTTCCTTGTGTCATCTGTTAGGATCCTGAGTCAGAATATAAAAATAGCCTGCCTAATTCAGAGTCTTCTTTCCTAGCTAGATCCATGGCTTTCCTGTGCAGTGACAGTGATCTTTTGTTCATCTTTTATAGGATGGGAATGGGAGAGGTAAAATTATTTGGAGAGTTCCAAAAGAAGGTCTCATGTCCCTTGTATTTTGCAGGGGTTCCTTCGGTTTTTTTAATAGGGTGAGTTTTGATTGATGGTGTAGGTAGATGAGGACGTGCAGGTCTCTTGAGTTCTTCCCACTCCTTTCTTCTTCTCAGCGAAGGAGCATACTTGCTGAACACTAACTTCAGGAGAGGGAGTTGAGGAGCTTGACTGCTGCTTTGCATTCTGGAGATGTTTCTTTCCCTCATGAATATTCATGATTGCTTCTTGCCCATCTGACCTGGGTGCTGGAACCCAGCATTTTACCTCCTAACAAACACTAACTTTTAAAATTAAAGATAAAGGAATTTTCATGCGCTATTTTCCAGGCAGGTTGTTTGGGTCTGCCTCTGGTGATCCCCTTATGCCTGGAAACCCTGAACAGTTTCCTTGTTACTATGCTAGTGTTACTATACTGAGCTAATATGATGACTTCTAAAGTTCTTTTGGCTTCCTTTACCCTCCTGAGTCACAGGATGCACTATTTTCCCTCTGGATCTTCCATCCTTTCAAACTAACATTCTACGCCTCTGTCCTGAAAAGCATGTCATGATGCAAAATTATGTGACTGGAAGTTGCATTGTCTCACTGAAAGCAGATTTATCTTTATATCCTTCAATAGTGCCATTATCCAGGGCAGTGTCTAGAAGCTGCAGTGTCAGAATCCTGTCCTCAGGGTGGTTTTAGTCAATAGATCGAGTCATTCTTTTGATGATATTGTTGTCTTGACTTTTATTGGTTGAGACCTTAATTTAGTTTATCTTCTGTGCAGAGCTTCTGCTGCTTGTCTGATCTTCCAGCAAACTCCAGAAAAAGCACTATGGATTAGAAAGCCAAATTAGCTGCACTGTAATTAAAAAAAAGAAAAAAAGAAAAAAAAAAGAAGTAAAGTAAGAGTATTCATTAAGTAGGTCAATAAAATAATCATATTTTTTGGTAAGAATTCAGCTGAGCCCAAACAACTCATGTATATGTATATCCTGGCTTCTACGGTGGTTCTTCCAAACCTGACATTTCTGATTCCCTATCTGCCTTTCCCTTCCACATGCTTGACCTCTAACAGTATTCCTTTGCTTGTCTTAAGACCTTACATGTAATTTCGCTCTCCCTCTTCCCCCAAGAATGTGATCCCAACCTGAGTTTTCTAATTGTGTATAGCAAGGATAAAACTCCTTGCCTTGCTTGGCTGCCTCCTTGTTTGGAAGCTCACACTAAACATTTCCACATGGTTTGCGCTCTTTTTGCATGTCTAATTTATTTTTCCCCCTTTAAACTTTCTCTTTTCTAAAATAACCCTTCAGCTTCTTCTACCTTGGGCTGCTGGCACTGGCCTCACCTTGTTACTGTTTGCATTTCTTTTGTACCTTTTTGCAACTTAAATCTCTGTGGGCTTTTAAATCTGTCAGCAGCCTTTACCAGGCTCAGTGTGCAATTTTGCTCACTGTTTTCACAAGTTTCCCAGCCCTGAATGCTTTCCAAATGAGCCATTGTTGGGCTGAGTTAAAGAGGTATTGTCTCTGCTTGCACAAGGTTAGTGTGGGTGCCAGAATCTGTGTGTACAGCATTTTAGTGCCACGATGTCATCATGATATTAGACCCCTGGACACTTCCTTCTCCAAATATTTCAAATACATATGGAAAAAACTCAAACCCCTGCCAAAACTGATTCACTGAAACAGTACTGGAAGATTTTCTTTCTCTTACTGAAACTCTAATTTAGACATCTTCATCTGTCCCTGCTCATGCAGTCTGCTTGCCCTGAAGACCATTCTTTTTTGTTTCATTCTCTTTATTTGCACCTAAAACTGGCAGCTTTGTTTGGAGACCTGTTCTGGTCAGAATTAACTGAATTAACACAGAGGAAGTAGCAATCTCTTATTTTATAGTTTTAGAGACGTTGTAAGAGACGGTCCGAAGATTCCCTCATCTGCCTCACGACCATCTCAAGAACAGAGACTAAGACCCTAAAGAACTCAGGGGACTTTGTGCAGGGGTTCTGGCCTGGTTGAGGTGGATGCTTGCTAAGTGGTTGTTTGAAGGTGTGCTCAACCTACACCACAATAGTGATTGTTTGCAGGTGTTTGCTGTGCTGACACAGTATGCTGCCTTCATTCCTGCTGCTGAGCAGGAACTGGTGAGTAGCGGTGTTCTGTACCTCATACCTGCTTCACAGAGCAATGGGTCTTATCACAATGGCCTGTGAATCTCCCCACCTCTTGGCCAACTGCCCCTCGCTTTGAAACCGACTATAAAAGTGACTTTCTAAGTTACATTCTTTGAGAGAGATCTCCTCATGGGAGAAGACACTGGCATGCCCATCTCGTCCGTTGGTAGCTATAACCCCCCTTTTTCTCTTTTTACTTTATTCCTCACTACCTCTCTTTCTCTCTTTCTCTCCTTCTCATCTATCAACCCATGCTGCTGGCACTAAAATAAAGATGCATTATTGCTGTTGTGATTTAAACTGAAATCCCTTTGTGTCCTTTTTGCACTCTGAGATCAAGCAAACCTCTCACGACTCCTGCTTGTGTTAGCGGATCATGACAGACGTGCATTGGAAAAGAGTCTGTTGTTATTCACCTTTTACAGAGGAGTAGCTGAAGCTGTGGAATCTGGTGGTCAGTTTCAGATCATAGCATTATCCTTTATTTTACTATTGTAAGCTTGATTCAGCTCTAAGTGGGTATGTTCTACTGAGCTCACTTTTCTTAAGAGACTGAATATGCTGCTCTGATCAACCCAATGTTACACTGTGGAGTTAAGTCCTTTATGTTTGAAATGTCTTTTATGGGGACTGTGCGGTTTAGAGAACAAACATCTGGAAAAACATTTCAACCTGTAGGTTGCTGATGACATGATGACTGTCTCATGGCCTTTGCTTGAAAGATAGAGAAATTGAATGATTTGCTTTCTATGGAAGAGCAATTTGGTATTGCCAAAAAAAAAAGTCAAAAAAGATCAAACTGATGAAACTGATGAAAGTGTCAAACTTTCAGCCTTTCTCTAAGTGTCATAAGGAATGTCTGTGTCACATAATCCAGTGCTTTGAGTTTTTCACTTCATCCCTTTCATATAATCCTTCCCATCCTTCACTGATCATTAGTATTCGAAGTTTGACACATGGGAGTTGTTCAGGCTGCCTCTCCTCATAGGCTATGCTCTGACAGGGAGAACTCAAGGGAGCAAGGAAATCATCACAAAACCAATAATCTTTGGAGTCTTCAGGTGCCACTAAGTCCTCTTGATTGAAGACTAGTCAAACATGCCTGGTCCAGAAACCTCTCAACTTACGAGAAGATATCAGTGCAGCTGTTGACTGTTTTTTTTCTGTTTTTCTCAATCTCCAGGATGAATTGGATCTTACGGACAAGAACAGAGAGGCTATGTTTGCACTCCCTCCAGAGAAGAAATGGCAGATTTATTGCAGCAAAAAGAAGGTACTACTGTTGTCCTCATTGGAGGAGCTCACCAATAAATCCTGTGTGCATGTTCATAACTGCATCTTGATTTGAGCTGTTTATCTACTGTTTAGTCAAGAACATGAATAAGTGATGGAAGGACTTTTATCAGCATGGATACAACAAAATTTTCTGATAAGTAATGTATGCACTTGTGATTTATGAAGAGGATCTTAACATCTTTAAATAGTACACTTTCCCAGTTTTAATTATTTATGTGTTTGGGGGTTTTTTTTGTTTTATTGTTTGTTTGGGGCTTTGGGTGGGTGGGGGGATGTTTGTTTGCTTTTCTTTGAGCTGAAATGCATTAAGGAATTTTTAAAAACTTTTGTAGGTTGCTTAAAATAGAAAAAGTATTGATGAAGTCTTTTAGAATGTCTTCAAATATCTCTAAAGTATGCAAAAATAGAGATGTCTTAAAACTTGGTAGTTCAAGAGTTTGTAGGAAATGTTCCACAGTGCACTGGAAAGCGAGGAGCATTTGCTCATGTCGCTTTCCATGTAGCACTTCTCCCTTCAAGGTCTTCAAATTTCTGACAAACCAGTAAAGGGGCAATATATCAGAGGCTGATCAATCACACTAATATTTTTCACTGGCAGAATGATGGCCAAGTGAATGGGTAAGTTACATAATTGCTGTGAAACTTCTAAACAAGGAATTTCTGCAGTAATGTGGCATTGGAAAGGTTTTGCTGCTCTAGGAAACACACAGTCAGAAATTAAGATAACTTTAATAATATGTATTTATTAGCATGTTATAAGGAAGAAGGTGTGGTGAGTTTGTTGGTTAATTTTATTTCCCAAGTGTGCAAGTCATGCTATGAGTGCATCAGTCTTTAAACATAAGTCTCCATAACAGAGGGTGGAAGAGTAGGTTTAGACTTCAGTACTAAACCTGGCAGATTTAAATCCTTCTCATGGTCCTTCTGGGGGCTGTGTCTGCTGCCTTTTTTCCTCCAAGTCGGGGTAGTGACCTTTCTTACTGTGTAATTAAAGAAAACTAGTCCAATAAGGGTGTTTTGCCTTGAGGGTGTTTTTGTTGGTTGGTTGGATTTTTTAAACTTCACACAAGGAAGTTAATAGAAATCAATTAATTACAGTGGCTCAGAGCTAGCAGTAGCTCAGAGCTAGCAATAGTCCACAAGAGCAATCTAGGCTCCATGATCTTCAGTTCTATCTCCATTCCGTTTTTCCTGCTGGTGCATAACACTTGCAAGTGGAGGGAAGGTGCAGGCTGATGTGATTAATGTCTGCTTTACATTTTTACTGACCAGCTCAGCTGGGTTTTCAGCTCTGGTGGGAGAGGATTTATTTGTAGCTGTCTTAGAGATATCTCACCTCCTGGACAGTCAGCCTTGGCTGGAAGATTTGTGCTTTAATGTATTTAATATGTTGGTTGGATTCATTCATTACATTGGGAATTTTGTTTTTGTTGGGGTTTTTGTTTGTTTTTCCCTCTGTTCTACAGCAGTGGATTTGATATAAGAATCTTAAAGACTTCCAAAGTTAAAGAAGATGCATACTGGAAAATCTCGTAATGCATTTATAATGCAACTTCAGTTAGCTGAATTCCAGCTATGCAAAATGATGTGCTTACTAGGATGGGATACCATTGCCAGATGTCTATTACATTGTAGATACTTTCAATTACTTGAAACCTTAATTGTCCAGTGTTATTCATTGTTTCCTTCATAGGCAGTCAGATGATTGATGACTCTCTCACATGATCTCTCTCTAGCCTACTACCTAATTCACCTATCATCATTGTTTTGCAGTGACAGAGAAGCCTGTTCCAGGCTTTGTTTTAAAGCAAAGCCCCCTTTTCCCTGAAGAATTTGCCATCTAAATTTAGCCACAAAGAGTCTGATTTCTCACTTGGCAGAACACTTTCAGCTACCCAGGACAAGTCCCCAGAGGGCTCTGTCTTGCTGCTGTTGGGTTCTTGGAGTTTCCTGGCAAACAGGGGTCCTATGCCTTGAGATACAGCAAATGGAAACACCACAGACTAGAAGGTCAAGAAATGCAAACTGAGGCAACTGTTCAAAATTGTTGATATCAAGTGCCTTTCTAGTCTAAAAGTAATGGAAAGTCAGAACTGCCTGATTTGATGTAAAGGTGGTGAGATTAGTGGGCTGCCTTAAATAAACAAATGCCACTTGCATAAATGAAGCTTAGTCACTGTTGTAGGCACACATTTATCTTGGCAGTCAGATGTTAGATGTAATCTTCTATGGTATTTGATTCCAACATGGTGGCAGAAACCTACTGTTATATTAAAAACCCATTCCACCTGTTCCTGAAATCAAGCCTTTCTGATGAAATGGAGGAAGACAGGTAGGTCAGTGCACTGAAAGTTGTCAGTCAACAGTCCACAGTAATCAAAGGAGGCTGAATTCTGAACTGAAATTTCATGATTGTGAATGATTCCTACAGAGTAGCATTCACACAGTATTACAAACCCATGCTTGCTTTGGTCACTTCTGGTTATTCTGGGTTCATATCTGAAACTGTTAGTATTAAAAACAAATCACCAATTATTTCACCTAAAAGAGTAGCTCTAGCTAGCAGCTCTAGCAGAGACTTTGCTCTCATTTGTGGAATAGCTATTTGCAAGGAATAAAGGATGGTCTGCTGAAAAATGTTAATGTCTTCTCAATCTCAGCTGTTCTCTACCTTGACATTAATCAGTACAGGATGGACAATGAGAAATGCAGTTGGCTTGATTTGCATCAGAGGAATCATTGATTAGTCACCACTGATGGCACCCTGACCCTCTACCCAAACCACCAGTACATGTTCTAGATTGCCCCTTCCTCTGTAGAAGGAGTTTCCACTTCCTGATTTTGTTAAGTAAAGCCATATGTAGAAAATACAAATTATAACATCCTCCGTGAGTTCAGGTACTTTATTCTGGTTTTGTTTAGAATAATTTTCATGTCTCACCATAAGCTGAAACTTGAAAGATAAAACACCTCTATAACTCCTCTCTCTAGCTTTCCTGCCAGATATTAGTTTTGCAGGAATTAAATCAAGCACTAGACCAAAATTGCAAATGTATTTATTTGCAAATTTCCAGTGTCGAAGTTTAGAAAACCAGTGTTCTTCGGTGCTGTCTTACCAGGATCTTATACTAACACATATAGTCTCATTAAATACCAATCAAATAATTATAAGGAAAGAAAACAATTTTTCATCTATAAACAAGCTCATATTGGGATCCCAAAAAGTGTAGAAAATGCAGGTATTGCACTGCTTCAGCACACATTGCTTTGGATGCAGCCTGTTTCTAAGAATGAGGCCTCATTGTGTGGGCCATAGCTTATTGCCTTCTGAACAACCCTACAAGCTGTTAGACTTACTGCTATTGGAAAGCAAGTTGTTTTCTTTTTATGGCCTTCCCTGCCTCCAGAGATTAATTTGTAGGCCTTTGGCTGAGCAGATTTTAGTAGCAAGCACACACATTTTGCACAGTTAAACAAGTTTTAGGGTTTTTTTTCATTTCTGTCTCTCTTTGAAGAAAAAAATTCATAGCAAATCTTCTTCTAAAGTAGTCAGACTGAACTAGCTGGATCATATAGCTTCTTTTCAATCAAACAAAAAATACTTAACAAAAATCTCAGTCTTTCAATCCTAATAATATGTTGAGATCTCCAAAATATCTCAGTGTTACCTTGTACTCTTGATTTTAGTGGTATCCTAGAATAGTTACTTTGAGTTAATTGTGCTTTGTCTACTCAAATGAAATTATTTAAACTCAAGTAACAAGGTAATGAGCAGCACACTGAAACTTTCTGGAAGTAGACTTTCATGGCATCTGAGAAAAAGTGCATACTTATAATCTGTAAATTTATTCTACTTTTTCTATTACAGGAAAAAGATTCTCCACAGTAGCAAAATAGGATATGAAAATTCAGAGGAAAATTTACATGAACCATAGCGTGTAACAGCCAATATGCAGAAAATAAAAGAATATCTTTCATGACACCATCCTCTGCAATTATTTTTAAAATATTTATTAATTATGTTTTTCATCTACCTGATGAATAAAAAAAACTAATAAACTGGATATGAAAGTAGGAGTCAGGAAATTCCTTGGTTCCAAAAAGTCTTTGATTTAAATTGTTTTATGCTTTCAAATAAATGAGTGTCACTGTTATATTTATGCATAAATGCATTTCTCTCTACCTGAAGGAAGGAATAGATAGTTAGGAAACTTTTCAGAAATATTTTGGCCATGCCATCATCTTATACATTTTCCCTGAACTTTTTACACATGCCTTGGCTGAATACGGCATTCCTTTTTTTTTCCTCTTTCCCTTTCCTTTTTTTTTAAGATACATGCTCAAATATATCTGAATCTTTCTGAGCTTTCCAGATCAAGCACTGTTCATTCTTTTTCTTTACTGCACTTATCTGTGTTCTATGATAGTCTTGTGGTGAAGTTTCTGGGTTTGCGTGAGCTAACTGTAAGGATCAGAAAGGACAGAGTGGAAGGCACTTTTGTGCATTACACAATTATTAAGGAGTCGAGGTCCTTTGGACTGTGGTCACAGGTGGGTGCTTGACCACTAAGGCTGTAGTCCACGTGCAGAGTGCCCCAGATGTCCTCCTAGAGATTTATACCTCTCTCTCAAAGAAGCAGCATCGCTTTGCATTCAGTTCTCTTTTCCTAACATCAGGGCTGCATCCTCATAGGCTTTGAATTACCTTTGAGAATCCTAGCCTTAGTGGGACATCAGCTTTTCGTACTTTTACCACCATCATTTTATGCCATTTGCAGCTCATTTTCACAAACTCCCATTTTGGTCCCATGCTGCCGGTCTAGCATTAATGAAGATAATGTCTACATGTCTGGTTTGGTTTCCTTTCTTTGAGAGTTTCTGTTTGAGCTTTGCCCTTGAGGTTTGAATTGTCAGCAAAATGTCACCATAAAAAGTATAGCTTGATATTGTGCAGCTGGATATAGAGTGAGATACTTTGAAATCTGCTGGAGGGATCTAAGGTGCTTTTGCAACTTTTTATATAATTACCATAGCCTACCAGGGATGAACAACAAGATGGATGCAAATATAAAACCTGGGGTCCTCCTTGCCTTTAGGGAAAGCTTTCAGAAGTGAGTGAAAATTTCTGCATTTACTGTTTGTTCTAGGGCAGCTGTGCATCTGTGGTTTTGCACTGTGAAGCACAATTCCGGATTGGTTAAGATGGAGAGAAAGTTACTTCCGTGAAATATTTCTATGCGAAAGTGAACTTGCAGGACTTTTGTTCCCAACCCTGAGGTCTTTTCTTTGTGTTTAACACTTCATATGGAGGTTCTAAGAGCATGAGACTGTATTACACTTGATGCACTTAGATAGGAGTTTACTTCTTCAGGTTCCTGCTTTAAAGTAGGAGATACATATTGAGATCACATCACAAAATGTGTTAGGGACCACCAGTGGGATCATCTATGGCTAGCAGGGTCATCCTAAAGCACATGGCACAGGATTGCATCTAGACCATTCTTGAATATCTCTGTCCAGGAAAACTCCACAACCTCTCTGGACAACCTATTCCAGTCCTTGGTCATCTACACAGTAAAGAAGTTCTGCCTCATATTTAGGTGGAACTTCCTTTCTGCGCATTGTCTCCTGTCCTATTGCTCAGCACAACAAAGAGTCTGGCTCCATCTTCTTGGCATCCTCCCTTCAGATACTGATAGGCATTGATAATATCCCCTCTCCATTTTTACTTCTCCAGGCTGACCAGGCCCAGCTCCCTCAGCCTTTCTTGGTAAGAGAAATGTTCCAGTCCCTTAATCATCTTTGTTACCCTCCACTGTATTGGCTTCAGGGGCTCCACATCTCTCTTGTACTGAGGAGCCCAGAACTGGACACAGCACTCCAAGTGTACCTCACCAGGGCTGAGTAGAGGGGCAGGATCACCTCCCTCAACCTGCTGGCAGTGCTCTTCCTAATGCACCCAAGGATACCATTGGCCTCCTTTGCCACTGGGCCTACTGCTGGCTCATGGATGGCTTGTTGTCCACCATGACCCTCAGGTCCTTCTCCACAGAGCTCCTTTCCAGCAGGTCAGCCCTAGCTGTCAGCCCTGTGCTGGTCCATGAGGTTATTCTTCCTAAGGTGCAGGACTTACTGCACTGACCTTTGCTGAGTTTCAGACAGTTCCCTCTGACCATCTCTCCAAGCTGTTGAGGTCTTTCTGAAGGGCTGCACAGCCCTCTGGGGTATCAGCCACTCCTCCCAGCTTTGTGTTGTCAGTGAATTTACTGAGGAGGCATCAGCTTCTCCATCCAAATCATTGATGAACATGTGACACAATACTAGGCCCAGTATTGAACCTTGGGGGACATCACTAGTGAAAGACCTCTAATTAGATCCTGGGCCACTAGATCCCTCTGGGATCTGCCATTCAGGCAGTTCCGAGGTATTCAGGAGATGATACACCCTCCCTAAAGAAGAGAGAAAAATGACCTTCATCTGGTCTCATTTAGTGATACAATATGCCAGATGAAGACCACATTACTGTGTTGTTTGAGTCTGGGTTTTTGGTATTGTATTGTCTGTTCTGAGCTACAAAAGCCCTTTGGGGTTCATCCTTTCTGTATGAAGACTGCCAAGCATGTGGTTGTCCCATAATAAATGAAGTGGGTGGCTTGAAGTTGTATTGTTTTCAATTCTATCTTCTTGCATTATTTTTTCATCTCTGAAATAGTCTTAGACTCTGTTATTGATTTGGAATATTAAACTGTTTGGGTTATGTATTTATAGCTTTAAGGAACACTTAATGTGTCCCTTATAAGTTCCTTTCTTTAGAGTTGTTATTCCATATGCTGTATCTCAGAACAGCTGATGTGAACATAGAAGTTGGTGTGCTGCAGTATTTGAGAAGCCATTTGTAAAGACTCACAGTTTGATGAGTCTTGGATGTGACTTCATGAGGGATTTTTTCACAGCTCTCCAGGAAGTGTAAAAAGAGAATGTGGGTGGATGTGGGGGTGAGTACTTTCACTCTCTGTTCCCTGGGAAGTATGGAAAACACAGGGTAAACCTCAAAGCACATGTGATAGGCTAACAGCAAGAGCACTTGGTGGAAAGTAGGAGGCTGAAGAAGCTGTGTGTGAATGCTTAGTGTAAGCAATCCCACAATTAGCAGTATTGATTGCTAATCAATGAGGGTGTCTCATGGCCACAGGTCAAAGGGCAGCAAAGCCACACTGGATATGAAGAATATACTATACTTTATTTGAAGCCTTTGGTATATCAGAAAATCGTTTCTCTTCCTACCAGTTCTTTGGAAGTTTGTGGCTGAAGTTCATCTTCAGTCAACATTTTAATTTCATATGATATTCAAACCTTGACAATGACCTGAACAACCTGATCTAATTTTGACAATAGCTCTGAGCAGGTCCCTTCTTCTCAAGGCCCCTTCCATCCTAAATTGATTTGTGATTCTCTAAACTGTTCATAAATCAAACTGGGAAAGCAGCTGTATGGCCCTATAAAGAAAGGGAGCATCAATAAGGCTTCATGCAACCTCCTGTATACTGTCCTGTATTATTGCTATGACACCAACTCCTTGAAACAGGCTATAGCAGATGCTGTTTGGTTCCCTCCCAGTGCCTGGAATCCATGGTTGCATTTTGTCTGGGAAGACTGCATGACTTCCTTAGCTCAGAACAGTGCTGGTGAAACAGTCTGAAATGTGGAATCTCTCAAATTAATTCTCTGAAAATAGACTTGCTTTCAGTTTGCCTAGGGCTCACTGGAAATGTCGTTGCACTGGGAAGTCACAGTGGGAGGATGTTGCCCTTTGCAAGCCACAGCATTCCTTCAGCTTGATGTTTGGAAAATGTCAGCAGTTGTGGAGTTAATTTCCTTTTTTCCCACCAGCATCTGTTCCTTTTTCTGTTAGAATGACTTCATGCTCAGATGTTCGGAATGATTTGTTAGCTTGACACCGACATTGGGTAATTTCAGTATCTTTAGTCTAGGTATGGAAGACAGGCACATGACCTCAAAAATTACTTTTCTATAAATGCAAGTAGGTTTAAGAAAATCAAATTCAGAAACTCTGGCCTATGACAAGTACAGGATGTAACAGAAAACAACAAAATGCTGCAAGAGTGTCATTAATGCAACAAAAACACACGTTTCCTCATTGTGTACTTGGGTCTTTTCATTGTGAAAGAGCTGTTTGATTGATGGTACTTGTGTCATTGGCTGAAGCAGTAGCTGCCAAATTAGGGCAGCACCGTTAATACAATGTAAAATAAAGCCTAAAATTATATACTTCTCCTTCTACATCATTTAATGCAGAGAATGTGTTCTCACTGGAAAATAAAACTTGGGGTTCATGTAAGACACCATCTCATTCTTTTATAGTTTCATATAATGAATTTAGAAATTTTATCTCACATAATTATAATATAAATTTGTTGATACTGCCCGATTATTTTTTAAGCAGGTTAGCATACTTGAGAAGAATCATTGCCAGGGTTTTTTGTAGTTTTTTTTGGAGCTCCTGTAATTGTTTCTTCATGTTTTTTACTTGTTATTTTTGGTTCTATAGTAAAGACCTCAAAGTGTATACTTGAATAAACAATATAGTAGGCTTAATGATGTTAGAGACTCCTATTAACTTTTTTTTTCCTTGAAGTCACTCTTGTAACGGTTTAAAGTGTAAGCTTAGTGTCAAGAAGGCAAAAATGCATGCACAATTCAGATGATATGCCATTACTATGGCTTGGAATTGTGACACCTAAAAGACCACATTGTAGCAGACGTAAAAGGAGATAACAAGTTTTTCCAAGTTGTCTGCTTTATTTGGTTTATGCTTTCCATGTTGCCATGCCAACAGTTGCAGACTCATTTATTTATCCTAGTGTAAGAGGTTACCTTGAGTCAGGGTCTTGAAATTATATATTTATTTCTGTATAATTGAAAAGTATTTTCTTCCCTGCCCCCCATGGG